TTCAAGATGATGACACGAAGTGAGAGCTCAACAGATGAGAGCTGTTGTCACAGTAACGTCATTGCTATGCTGGTCATCAGGCACTTCCTCACTTGCAAGATTTCCAGTTAATAAATTAAAAATCTACAGCAGGCACTTTGTAAGATGCACAGAAGAATATTTTTAAGGCCTTAGGGTGTGCCCCTTTCTGAGATAGGATATTATAAAATACTATCTGTTAGGGAAGACTAGAGAAATGAGACCACAGTAAAATCTTGCTACAACAATGGGCATCTTTAAGGCAACCAAAAAAGAAAATCTGTAAAGAACTGCCATGAGTCATGAACAGAGAAAAGCCAACAGAAAACAGGGAAGAGAAGGATAAGGGAGCTCAGTAAAGCAAATGGCAGTGCAATGGCCATTAAACACACAAAAATGGGCCAGATGTGGTGGCACACAACTGTAATCCTAACTTTGCTCCCCGAGTAAGGAGGCAAGCCTGGGCTACACAGCAAAAAGAGGAGGGGAGGGTAAGAGGAAGGGGAGGAAGAACAAAGGAAGGAAGGGTCGGACAAGGATGAGGAACAACCAGAATTCTCCTAGCTGCTAAAGGGAGTAAAAACTACCTCAACTGTTTTAGAAATGGGTGGTATCTAATAAACCTGTTCAAGTGTCTGTCTCATGATCCATACTTCCAGGTATATTCCCAATAGAAATAATGCACACACGTACCTGAGAGCAGGCACCTGAGGTTTTTCCTGGCTGACTCCCCAAACTTGGGAACAACAAGCTGGGCCTGTGGAAAGGCTGCCATCGTTCTCCTTGTTGGGACTGTACCAGCTTGTACTTGCAGTACTGGCACAATTACAAAGGGTCCCGCCTCTACGGTATTCTTGTGACTGCCCTGGTGTCAACACATAAGGGCATCTGAAAAGCTACCACTTCAATAAGAGCAGGAAGAACACTGACCCAAAATTGTCAAAACTAACTTTTGTGGGTCACTGGTGTATCCCTGGCTGACCTGAACTCATAGAGATTCACCTACCTCTGCCTCCCAAGTGCTGGGATTAAAGGCATGTGCTACCATGTCTGCAACAAAACTAACCTCTTCAGTATTCTAGATACTAATCTGGAACAATCTGAGATGTGCTTTAAAAAAATCCAAATGGCTAAACCCTGATAAAAGCAGTGTGTTGTATTTTGACTTCTATTTTCTTCACAATTCCAAAACACTAATGCCAGAACCTGTCGTTACTGGACCTAACAGAATCCCAAAGAGCGAATTCACAGCTTGTCACTTTTTGACTTGAGATCTCACTCAGCAAAGTCTTTATTCCAGAGCCATTTGTAGAAGATAATTGGTAATAATTGTTTAATATCACAACTGCCTATGGTCCTGATAAGTAGAACCAAGCAAGGAAAAGTCACAGAGAAGCTCTGGAAAGCCTAACATGGTCCTGCAATACAGAGGGTCACATGTGCTGAGCTGTGCACATCCCAAGAAGTGTTAGACGTCACCAGAAGACTCTGAGAACACCAAGGTAAAGGCTAAAGCAGAGTTCAGAATTCCCTCCCAAGTACTGAAGACATCGTTCAAACTGCACACTTCTGTCTTTGCAAAAGGCTGAGAAAGTTACTACTCCTATGTACTTAAGGAAGGTTCTGTCAAATCATCCTCCTGACCAATAAAGTAGTTGAGCAGAGCTTTCAGGAGACATACATGACAAGACATAAAAGATTTTGTCTTACTAGACAAAAAATTACCAACCACAGCAACTATAATCAACAATTACAACATACTCTGCAGCATGGGGTTGGATCGGCTTTGAAGAGTCACCACATCACACTATTTAAAATGTGTGGTTTTCAGTAGGAAAGTATGAGACATGACAAAGAACAATAAAAGATGACCCAACCTGTGTGCAGGGAAAGAAACAGGAGAAACTAACCCTGAGGAAATTCAGGAGTTGAATGTGCTGGACAAAGACTTTAAATCAGCTCTGTCAGATATATTAGAGTAACTAAAGGAAACTATTTCTGAAGAAATGAGATATGAAAATGATATTGAAGTCTGACTGTTGTTCCATTTTATTGGAGGCAGGCTGGAGATGGAACCCAGAGCCTCCTGCATGCTATGAAAACACTATACCAACTGAACTACATCCCCAGCCCTGTGACTGTTGCTTTAATAACTTTCTCCCCTTATCAGAGTTTACATTTCCTTTATAATGAACCATTTGAATTTGCTCAGTTATAATATAAATACAGAATATTAATAGATTTTTCAAAGAAGCACATATAAGTGAGGTATGACAATGTATGTACATCAGTAATCTCAGAACTTGAGAGGCTGAGGCAGGAAAATGAAGAGCTCAAGGCCAGACTAGGCTACCTAGCAAAACCTGTTGCAAAAGCAAGCAAACAACAAAATGCACATAAAAATTCTAGAACTAGAGGCAGGCGGATCTTTGTGAGTTCGAGGCCAGCCTTGTCTACATAGTGAGTTCCAGGACAGCTGGGGCTACAAAGAGACCCTGTCTCAAAATAAAAATTTGAGAGAGAGAGAGAGAGAGAGAGAGAGAGAAAGTAGAACTAAAATAACAAGAGCTCAACAATAGATTTGAGTTGGCCTACAAAGGAAATAGCAAACTTGAAATAAACCAATTAAGATTATCTAATCTAAGAAACAGAACAAAAAAATAAAAAAATAAAGAAAAATAAACAGTCTTAGAGATCCATAAGACAACATCAAGGAGCTGGGCATGGTGGCACACGCCTTTAATCCCAGCACTGGGGAGGCAGAGGCAGGCAGATCTCTGTGAGTTCAGGGCCAGCCTGGACTACATAGGGAGCCAGGCCACCAGGGTTACATAGTAAGAAAAAAAAAAAAAAAAAAAAAAAAAAAAAGACAACATCGAGCATACTAATGTAAATCCAAAAGAATTCATAGATGAGAAGTAGAAACTGGTTAGGGGCAGGGGAGGAGACGAATGAATATCTGAATGAAACACACACACACACATGAAGTACAATAAATTCCAGCCATAATAAATTCAAGTCACATCATAATCAAGCTGTTTAAAGAAAAAGTCTTCTAAGTGACAAAAGAAAAGTAATTCATCACAGAAGTCAGATGGTCATAAAAACAGCAGCTGATTTTTTTTTTAACTATGGAGGCCAGAAAACAGTGGGATGGCATTTTTTAAAGCATGAAAATAAGGTTGTGCTATAAGAATGTTATACCCAGCAAAACTATCCTCTATATGAAGAAGAACCAGCAAGGTCACTCAGCAGGTAAAGGCACTTGCCACCAAACCTCAGTACCTAAGTTTGATCCCTAGGACCTACATGGCAGGAGAGAATCAACTCTTGCAAGTTGTCCTCTGACGTCCACACATGTACAATGCCCTCACCGCCCCCCCTACAAAACACCCAAATGTAAAAATGAGCTGTTAGTACCCATGTGTATATACCTCCCCTTCACCAACCTACAACCTCTTCTCTTAAAAAAAAAAAAAAAAAAAAAAAAAAAAAACAGAAGGCCAGGGGCTAGAGAGTGGCTCAGCAGTTAAAAGCACTGACTGCTCTTGCAGAGGACAGGGGTTCAATTCCTAACACTCACATGGTGGTTAACAACCATCTGTTAACTCCAGTTCCTTCTTCTGACCTCTGAGGGCACTGCACAACATGGTGCACTTACACGCATGCAGGCAATACACTCATACACATAAAATTAAAATAATAAATAAAAAATATATAAAGAAAAAGAAGGCCAAATTAAGTCATTTCCAGATAAATAAGTGTGTTAGCTTGCATGACAGAAGTCATATTCACCTTATGTGATTGGGAGGCTGATGTGTGCATGTGGGTGTTAGGTAGCTTATGTAGTACCTGAAACTCCAATTTCTTAGCCCCTGTGCTGACTGCATATTTACTTTGTAACATTTCACTGGCTGTTCCACTTATGTTTTGTACATTCAGCTTTCTCTGTGTTTTCCTTCACATGAGTGGAATAAATGAGGAAAGCCTTCCTCATCAAAGCCATACAAATTTCTTGAAAATTCAAAAGACTCATCATAAAAGGAAATGTTAACCCTGCAGCAGGGAAGTATATTTGTGAAACAGTTAATAATCAAACTTCAAAAATGCTAGGTAAGCCAGGCATGGTGGCGTACCCCTTTAATCCCAGCACTTGAGAGGCAGAGGCAGGCAGATCTTTGTGAGGTCAAGGCCAGCCTGGTCTACATAGTGAGTTTCCAGGACAGCTGGGGCTACAGGGAGACCCTGTCTCAAAAAGACCAAAAGAAAAAGCTAGGTAAGAAATTTCTGGTAAGATAAGAAAGAGAAACTATTTAGGGACAACCAGTCCTTTCTGGGATGTCATTATTTTACCTTATGATTAATATTAGAAGAGAACACATCATGCTAAAATTTTTTGACAGCTCAAGTCACATCTAAATTAATGATTAATGATTAATTAATGATTAATGATCCTGTTCTAAGTGCTACACAAACGCTATTGAAGCCACACCAAGGAATCCTTCAGGGGCTGGAGAGCTGGCTCAGCGGTTAAGAACACTAGCTGTTCTTGCAGAAGACCTGGGTTCGAATCTCAGCACCCATGTAGCAGCTAAGAACTGTCTATTAACTCCAGTTCCAGGGGATCTGATGACCTCTTCTGTCCTCCACAGGCACTGCACGACAGGGGTGCACTTACATACATGTAGGCAATACATATATATACATAAAATAAAAATAATAAATAATTTTTTTTTAAAAAGAAATCCTTCAGTTTACATCAAACATGGAAAGTCTCTCAAGGCCAATGTATAATTTTCCTCAGGCCTCATTTACAAACTCCACCTGAGGTTTCTCATCTCCAGAAGTCCAGATGTTTATTTTGCCATTTACCTCTTTTGTATCTAAAATGATAAATCTCACCATTATTTTAAATGGGGGAGAAAACAGGGTACTTAGGCAAGAGAGGAAGGTGCCCCACGCAAGGGAAGTGTTCAACAAACCTGAAAGAGAAAGGCATCGCCCAGGGAATTGCTGAGGCAGAAGACAAAGTCCTTCTTGGGGTGCTCAGGTACGGCCTGCACAATGCTGTTCTCCACCCAGACAGCGTGCTTGGGGACACTGTTGTGGTCTATCCCAGACCTGCCATCACTCTCGTAGAAAAAGAGCGTGCACCCTGAGGAAACAGAAAGGAGGTCTGTGTGAGTATTTAGTGCTTGGTCAATGGAAGACCTGTAATGGAGACTAATGCTTGTCAACAGGAAAGGGCTGGAAATTAGTGTGTGGGAAGGAGATGAAGAGAATGGGGTGCTCTCTGCATTCAGGACATGAAAGGGCCTATAGAAAGGTAGCCATCTTCCATCACATCCTCTAAAACAGCCTGCCCTTGAGCTCTTTCTGACACCTTCTTTCTAGGTTAGATTGATTAGTTTTAAGTACCCTCACAGGATACGTGGTTTTGTGGTACCTGAGCCCATTGTGAGTACAGACACAGAAACACAGCTCTACAGAGTCCAAGTCTAGAACTGTAACCAGTACAATGTGAGACAGACACTTCCATCTGCTTGACGCTCATTCCCAACTTGTTTCATGTAATCGCAACTCGGAAACTAAAAAATGTAGTTGCATTTGTGCCCTTCAAGGAAGCAGTAATATGGCTTTAGGTGCTTCCATAAGAAATGATATATTTAATCCCAGCACTTGGGAGGCAGAGGCAGGCAGATCTCCATGAGTTCAAGACCAGCCTGGTCAACATAAAGAGTTCCAGGCCAGATGGAGCTACAGGGAGACCCTGTCTCAAAAAGACAGAAAAAAAAAAAAGACAAAGATAAA